TCCAGAATGAATTAATACTTTTGAGTATTCTATTCATTTTGTAATGTCCAACTTTTACCAGAAATAGACTTCACCTATTTTCACAAATTTTAAAAAATTCATAAGGCTCTGTCATATATTTTTTGAAATCTGAATTCACTTTAATTTGCGGTCAATTGTACAAATAATGTTAACTTTTCAAACTTACCAGCTACTGGTATATGTAAAACCAACAAATGGCAGATGGTGACCAGAAAATGCAGTATGTGTTGGTGGGGGCATCGTTTCCTAAAGAGGAAAAAAATCTGTTAAGAAACAGATAGCTGTGACCCTAGAGGCCCTAGAGTTGGGCTATACATATTAGCTGCCTATACGAAATACGTGACCTTCACTCTAGAAACACTGATCTGTTTGGTACAGATGTTTAGTGATAATAAAATTTAGACTATGAACTCTGTAAAATTCTCATAAAATGAAAATAATGATTAAAAGTCTGACTTGAGGGGCCAGCAGATGTGTGCTACACTCCCACATCTCAAGAGGAGAATAGAGGGCAAGGGACTGTGGTGTGGCCATTCTGCCCAAGAGGTGATTTCTCATTCTCTCTCTCTCTCTCTCTCCAGTGAGTACATGTGCCCTATGGCAAAACCTAAAAAAAAAAAAAAAAGTCTGACTGATATTGAGAGTGCAGTCATTATTCATATATTCTGTATTTGCTAATTTGTCAAGAAACAAAAATCTGTAAATGTAAAATCCATATTTGTGGTTCCTTTGCAATCATTTACAGACATGTGCAGATCAGGGAAAATTTGAGTACCCTATATTCATATTCACTGTTCAGGCTGGACAAGAGATGCTCCGCCTTCCTGTTTAAAGCTATCATATTTTAAGTAAGTGTCCTTTACAGCATCAGTTTAGTGCCTTTGCAGAAGATTTCACTGTTTAAAATGGACCCAGAGCATAGCACTAAAGCACTGTCTAGTGTTTGTTTCAAAGTGCAAATACGCTGTGATGTGCCTTTATGGAAAAAACAACATGTATTAGTTAAGTTTGTTAACTATATATTCTATTTGTTTTTATATATTCAATCACTGTATATCATAGCAGCATGCAAAATGAATTTTCCCTCTAGAAATACACTGCATATTATCATAGTTAGCTAAGTTTTGTGAGGCATGAGTTACAACACTGTTGGATGTAAGTTCAATGTTAACGAATCAACCGTATCAGGTGTCTTTAAATGGATACTCACATAAAACAAAATTATGCACTGAGTAGTTGATAAAAATGTTGCAACTAGAGATGCTTATAGGATCCCAATCCTGCATTTCCTCAGAGAAATGGTTCAATATCAACTGATAGAGTGTTCATGGCAATTTTTAAAACTTAACTACCACAAACAGAATCAAATGTACTATGTATTTAATTTGGACACCACTTATGACATAATTATACTTGCTTTGTGACCGAGAGTCTAACTAAGACTGACCCTTAGACTACTTTCCACTCTTCTGGAAAGCATGGCAGATGCACGGCAGAAAGGGGAGGGTCTGGTTTTACAGATTCATGTCACCCATGTTACCCACAGAGAACAGGATAGAGTTTTGTTTTTTGTTTTTTTTTCTTCAGAGAGATTTTGCCATAGGGTGCATGTGCTCGCCAGAGAGATAAAGACACAGAAAGTGAGAAATCACCTCCAAGGGGGTCAGCCACACTGCAATCCTTTCTTCTTCATTCTCCTCTTGGGATTTTGAGCATACAAGAACACATGCCTGGTGTGAATTTCAAGGCCCCAGTCCAGCATTAACCACAGTTGGCCAAGTGGAAGTCCAGCACTTTAACCACTATAGCACCTACTGACCCATGCAATCATTTTTTTTTAAAGCATTTAGTTTGTTCTCTTCTCAGGAAAATTAATGGCATAACTTATCTAAGAAGCAAATTGTTTTTGAATTTTAATTTTGTTTTTAGTCATGAATAACCATGTTCATCTCAATTAACTGTAATTTCTTGATTTATGATAAACTATATATTAGAATCCATGGTAATTGTTTGAATAACAAATGATAAAGTGGTCCTAACAAATTTGTGGTACTTGTAAAAAAATTACTTCATAACCATATAAAAAACAAACATACAGACTGAACATCTTCACAATGTCATACTTACAGAATTTTTTAAACAATCATCATCCACATCAAAATTTGATGTATCTGTTGGGCTACTGACTTCTGGAATATAAGGTGCTTCACAGTTCCGAATATTATCCCAATCAATTCCATTGAAAAATGGGTGTTTCTTAAAGTCATCTATTCCATTTTGACCAAGTCGATGTTCTCTGCTACAAATGAGCCTTCGAATAAGATCCTTAGCATTTTCAGAAACATCAGTCACTTGGGCTGGAAACTGAAACCTCTCCTAAACAGATAATAATTGAAAAATAATGTAAATTATATATAACTTACAAAATAGGTTGATGAACATATTTATTTTCTTTAAAATACATTTTCTTTTAAAAATAACTAATAAATGTATTCTGGTATAAAGTACTGGCCCTAAGAGAGATACAAGGTGTTATGAGAAAGATCATTTTCCTAAAAAAAATTTTAATTCTATAAATGAATTAGTCATACATGAAAAAAGAATAAATTAAATGGTAAAATACCTTAAATTGCTATTACAATGAAGAGGAACTGGTTAAAAGTGGTAGAATTTGACTCTTTACATAAAGCATAGATGGTTAGTAATATTCATATGGTATATACTAGTAATTAGGTAACAATAAACATTTTTAAAGAATGTAATATGTACTGGACGCCATCTGAAGTGCCTTATTCATTTAACTCATTAATTCTCACAACAATCATCTCAGGTAAATACTACCAGTATGCTAATTTTATAGAGAAGGAAACAAAGACACAGAATTCACATAATTTTATCAACTTCTAAATGGCAGTACTGGGTTTGAACTAAGGCTGACTCCAGAATATATGCAGCTGTTAAATACCATGTTATATTCCAATCATTTCTTTCTTAATTGTTGTACATGCCATTTATAATCTTGTAGCTATTTCCTGTCTTTCAGCCCTTCATAAGTAGAGTATTATCTTTGCAACCAGGTAGAAGAGCATAAACCCTATGAAACTGATTTATATGTGCGTTAGGCAACTAATCATAATTGTGTCATCATAACTGCATTTTTAAAAATAATAATTAAAAAGAATAGATTATCTCTCCCTTTTATGAGTTTAATAGCCTAACCTAATAGGTTACTGTGACTGTTCAGTCTTCTGAGACTGATCAATCGAACCCTTTCCTATTCTTGTTATGGATGACCTATTTCTAGTTCACTTAGTACTAAATGAATTAAAGTTTTATTAATTCATTCCTGTTGTACATCTGAATTGTTTCCAATGTATTGTGATCATAATAATATTGGAAGGGGTATCCTTGTATTTACATTTTTATTCTACTGAATATTTCCATAGGATATATTCCTTGAACTAAAGTTGTTCATTGAGAAGTATTAACCATTTTTTTTTAAGGCTATAGGGGTATACTTTCGAACCTGACAAAATGGTTATACCAATTTATATTCCTATCAATAATGTTTTAGATTGCTCATTTCACTGTATTATTTACAGTACAAAGTATTAATACTTTGATCTTTGTCAATCTGACAAGAAAAACAAACTATTTCATTTTTACTTTAATTTGCATGTTCCATTTATTACTACTAAGGCTGAGAATTTTCTTTACATGCAGTCTAGTCATGATTACTTGTATACTCATATTATGTAAAGATATAAATTATCTGCTTATGACCTTTGTTATTCAGTCTCTCACTTTCTAGCATCTCTAATACAACACAGGAAAATTAGAATTACTTATTTTATGTGCAATTTATGCATTTTAATTATTCATATTTGCCCTATCCCCTACCAGTATAGTTATATGATTATCATTGCTTTTAGAAAAACTTTCTCTTAAAATATCACATTAATTTATTATATGTGCTATTTACCATATTAATTTGAAAAAAAATACACTAACTTTGTGATTCATGATTTTTCCATATGTCTCCACCAGAGATTCTGCATAAAATGGTGTTTCTCCATAGAGCATTTCATACATACAGACCCCCAAAGACCACCAGTCACACTCAGGTCCGTATCTGCCTTTCCCATCTTCCATGGCTTGAAGGATTTCAGGAGAGATATAATCTGGAGTTCCAACAGCCACTGAGGACTGGACCTGAAGAAGTTCATATGTGTATTAATCTACTGTAATGTATAAGAAACTAAATAATAATCTTAAATTAAAAATAATTACACTTTACAGACACAACAGAAATTATCTCATGACAATTACATCTTTATCATTACCTGAATTCAGTGTGTTTACGTATATAAGTTAAATGTTACACAATCTCCACATTAATAGTTTTCCAGATTCATAACACTATAGAACCTTTATAATAATGGTTACTTAATTGACTACATTCAGGAAACAATATGATTTGAACCACTACAGCTATTAGCAACAAACTGAATATTTGGTTTAGAACATTTGTATTATTGATATGTATCTGTTTAAACTGTAACATTTTTTTTAAAAAATGGAACTGTAAAAATATTACAATTAGGTTAAGGGAAAAAATGAGTCTTGAAATTTATTTATTTAAGTCAATACTCATGAGTAACCTGGAGAATATTAAAACTCTTTAATGAAACCTAAGAAAGTAAATGTCAGCAATGTACAGCAAACTATTGATATGTATTAATTTTTTTAAAAGTTGGAAAGGGAGAAAAGTATATCCTTCAAAAAATAAAGCCCAAATAATAAAGCCCTAAAGTTGACCTTATAATTGTAGCAGATTAGATCTAAATTGGAAGGTGAGCAGCTTAAAAGAAAAAAGGAATCCTAAGTACCTATGTTGTAGGTTCTATAGGATAAAGAATATTAAGCTCTATTTTTGTTTTAAACAAACGTCTAAGAAAATAAACATTCTAAAGATAGAATAGTTAATATCCTGGATTTTCTAGACTAAATTATACTTATTAATAATTAGGATAGACTTTCCTTTGGCAATACTGAGATAAATTTATCTGGAAATGTGCACCAACTCCATGGCTTAGTGGTTAAGGTAGTTGTATCCCAAATGGTTGACTGTAGTTGAAATCTCAGACCAGTTGCTTAAAAAACATGCCACCTAAGTGTGCACACATGGTCACATGCCCCAACTCCAAATGAATGGAGATATTTACATGCTCCAAACTCTTAACAAGATGAAAAAATGAAGAAGGGATTCCAGTGTAACTAAGACCCATTGGAGGTTGTTTTCTCTCTCTGCTTCTCCCTAACTCTCCATCTCTCTCCAGTGAGCACAGGTGCCTGGTGACAAAACAAACAAAAAATAAAAACAAAAAAGTAACTTGAAAACTCTTCCATTACAAACTCTTAAAAACCCTAGATAAGGGAAAAGCAGTTGGCGTAATGGCTATGTTGCTGGACTCCTGTGTAGTCAACCACGGTTCGAGTCCCAGACCCTGTGGCTTAAACTCACACTGGGCACATGTGCGTGCCCAAGATCCCAGAAGGAGAATGGAGGAAAAGAAATTGTGGCATGGCCATCCCCCCTGGTGGGTGATTTCTCGCTTTCTGTCTCTCTGTCTCTTTCTGTCTTTCTGGAAAGCACACACATCCTATAGCAAAAACCTCTCAAAAAATAAATAAATAAAATATAACAACTGTTTAATAAACACATAAAAGAACAAATTAAAGAAGAGAAATTCTTAGGAGCTAGTAATCAAAGAATGGTAGAAAAACAAAATGATAAGCATTAGAGCTGAGGTGGGAGTAGCCAAATTGTTGGCTTTCATTTTCTAGGTACTGGAACTTAACATACACAAGTGAGCAAAAGGAAAGACTCTGAGCTTACATGAAGTGGGGAGTTTGAAGAGAGAGACTGCCTTATAAATCCTCTGCTCTAAAGTGTATATTATAAGTGAAACAACATGGAAAAAAAAATCTGCATGTAGCAGAGAAAGACATTTTATCTGTCTTGACTTGTGGCTGTTGTGTGAAAAAATTTCCTCCTGTAGAAACTCTTAATGTTTGGCCATACAATGCCAATGTTTGGGATTCTAATTTACACTGCTTCTGTGGTCCAGGTATTCTCAAGTCAAGAAACCAGCATACATATTGGCCGCATGTGAGCTGCCTCTAAAAAGGAAAATAAATTCAAAACTACCCCGGAGGGCACATGCTCAAATTTGGCCTCATATTATGCTCACACATAAAATTTCATCAAGTATAAGCTCACAATCAAATAAAATAAACCAAATGAGAAAACTGTCTATTACAAGTAAACAGTCCAAAGTCCCAATAAGCAAGACACTTAGACTCATAATAAATATCAGATTTACTCTATGAAATAAGTATGTTAAAAATTACTGAAGACAAAAAAAAATGAGGAAAAGATTTAAAATAATACCAAACAGAAGCCCTGAAATTGGTCACTGAAATAAAAATAATATAGTGAACAGGTAAACAGTAAATTAGATACACTGAAGAAAAGAATAAACCTGAAAAAGAGTTAAAGAAATTAATTACAATCCATTAGGAAGAGTTAAAAAGATGGAAAATATAGAAGAATGACTAAGAGATATGCATACTAAAAAGAGCAAATTCAGCAGTATATTCAAGAGAATGAGAGTAAAGAGAGAATAGAGGAAAGCAATATTTAAAGAGACAGCTTAAATTTTTCAAGAATGTTATGACTTGAATTCTGAGAAGATAATGAAAACCAGATCCATTTATATAAACATTGTAGTTAAACTACGGAATATCAAAGGAAAGCAAATTTTAAAAACATTAATGAATAAAGAGATTATATACCAAGGAAAAACAGACTGACAGCTAAATTATTAATAGTAACGATAGCAGTCTGAGAAAATGGAACTGTACCTTCAAAGTGATGAGACAAAGTATTAATAGCTGTCAACATAATATCCCCTACTACCCACATTATGGTATAAGAAACATTTTCATACAAAGACCAAACTAGCACTTAAAGATCTTTTCAATAAACAGAAGTACTAAAGGCTAAGCTTCCAAAAAGAAAAAAGAAAAAAAGAAACAAACCAACAATGTATGTATGTATCTCCCAGATGGAAGAATACTAGATGCAATTATAAACAAAGACATTAGTAAATTTTAGCATACATCTAAATGGTTATTAATTGGCTAACATAATGATGTAGAAGAACAAGAAGACAACGAGGAGAAGGAAGAGAAAATGGAGGAGGAAGGTGGGGGGGGAACTACTTTAGGGTTGAAAAATAAGTTGATATCCCCTAAATATATACAACTATAATTTGTCAATTTACCATTTTAAATAAATTTTTTAAAAAGCTATTCATTTTATTCCACTAAGAAAAAAAAAAAAGTAAGTTCATTGCTATGAAGATAGTACCATTAACTGTTCAGATCCTTGCCTTCACTATGTTTCAGTAATATACTCATAAGTTGAACTGCTGAATCAAATGATAATTTTAATTTTTAATTTTTTTAAGAACTAGTCTATTTTATATTTCCACCAATAGTGCCTACAGGTTTCAATTTTTTCATATCCTCAATAGCATTTGTATTTTCTGTCATTTTGATAGTAGCCATCTTACTATTAAAGGTGTGCGGTGGGATCTCATTATGATTATGATTTGCATTTCTCTAATGATTAGTGAGGTTGAGTATCTCTTCATGTGTTTATTGGCCTGTTATACATCTTCTTTGGAAACACGCCTATTCAAGTCCCTTAATTTTGTAATGGGGTCATTTGTTTTCTGTTGTTGACATATAAGAGGAGTTCGTTCTTTCTTTCTTTATTTCTTTTCTTTTTTTTTTTTTTTTTTTGAGAGATTTTTGCTATAGGGCACGTGCGCTCGCCAGAAAGACAGAGAGAGACAAAGAGACAGAAAGCAAGAAATCACTCCCCAAGGGGGATGGCCACGCTGCAATCCCTTCTCCTCCATTCTCTCTCCTCTCGGGATCTTGGGCACGCATGCACACGCACTCGGCATGAGTTTAAGCCACCGGGTCTGGGGCTGGAACCATGGTCAGCTACATGGGAGTTCAACGACATAGCCATTATGCTAACTGCTGGTCCCATAGGAAGAGTTCTTTCTTTATGCTGGACATTAATCAGACATATGATTTGCAAAATTTTCTCCCATTCCTTATGATATCTTTTTACTCAGTTGATTATGCCCTCTGATGCAGAGTTTTTAAAGGAAATACAGCCCTCTTTATCTATTTTTCTTTTTACTTGCCTGTGGTTTTGTATCATACCCAAGAAATCACTGCCTAATCCAATGTCACAAAGCTTGTCCCTTAAGCTCTCTTCTGAGATTTTTTTCCACAGATTTTGCTATAGATGTACACTCACCAGACAGAGAGAAAGCAAGAACTCACTCCCCAGGGAGGATGGCCATGCCCCAGTCCCTTCTCCTTCATTCTCTTCCTGAGATTTTGGGCACACATGCACACATGCTCGGTATGAGTTTCGAGCTGCTGGGTCCAGGACACAAACCATAGTTGGCCATGTGGGAGTGGAGCACTTAACCACTACACCACCTGCCGGCCCCCTCTTCAGAGAATTTTATAGTTTTAGTTCTTATATTTAAGACTTTCATCCATTTTTAGTTAAATTTTTTATATGGTATAAGGTAAATCAAGTTTCTTGTTCTGACTGGCAATGTAGTAAAAAACTAACTGAACGTTAGGTAAATTATAAAGGTTTAAAAAGTTAAAAAAAAAAAAAACATTAAAATATTTAAGGAGCCAGACAGTAATACATTGGTACTACAACTGAATCCACAAGGCAGGGTTCCAGATTTGCATCCCGGAACCTCCCTGTACACACCAGGGGCACACATGTATACCTGCCCATGATCTAGGCTGGCAGAGAGGGGGTGGATCATAGTGTGAAGACCTTACTGAGAGTGTCTGTCTCTGTCTATCCCCTCACTCTCTCAAGGAATAAAGAAACTTAAAATGTAACATCAAAATATTGAAAATAAAAATGTATACTTTACAATAAGTACAGAAAAAGAAATAAAACTAAGTTTGATTAAACCAATAGAAGGCAAGAATGAAGGGGGAACACATGCATGCAAACAAGCAAAACCTAAGCAGCAGAAGACAAGACACCAGAAATACATTAATAATCATAAATTTCATAAATGGATTAAATC